TGTTTTTAATTTTTGGTACCATATCTAATATATCGATTTAATAAAAAAAAAATTCTAACATTGTTAAGAATCTCTTTCAATTTTTTTTTAAAATGATGTAGTTTTCACTTTTAACTTTATCTAAACATGTTTTATCGGATTAAATAAGCAAACAAAAAATTTAGAATTCAAAACACAGATAAAGTAATATTTATATGCGTCACGACCAATCACAAATCTCTGGGAGAAAAAGTGAGGACCATAGTTTAAGCGACACTCTTTGTTTAAAGATTAGATCGGTCCAATTTATATTCACATCTTCCGCCATTATCGTCTTCCCAATTCGAATACTCTTCAACCTTCAATATCCCTTTCACCAGATTCAAATGGCGACCAAAAAGCCCGGAGTGATCGCTTTGTTCGACGTCGACGGTACTCTCACAGCTCCGAGGAAGGAAGCTACTCAAGAATTGCTTGATTTTATCCGAGAATTGCGTAAGGTATGTGATTGATCCATCTTCGTTACTTGTGCTTCTATGAACTGTGTTTATGCCTGGTTAGTGTTCGATGAAATGCCTGTGAGAGTTTCAGGTCGTTACTATTGGAGTCGTTGGTGGATCTGATCTAAGCAAGATATCTGAGCAGCTTGGGAAAACAGGTACGACTGTGATCGGATCGAGAAAAAACTATAATTTTGTGGTGGGAATTCGATTTTGTGTTTAAAGGAAGGATCTTTTTCCTACTTTGATGAAAATGGTCACTTTGATATGGATCCTTTTAGACGTGGAGACTAGATAGACTTTCTCTGCTTTCATATCTTTGACTAGATCCATCAATTGGGAATTTTAGATAGCTTTTGATCATCAGTGAATGTGTTTGATCTCCTCAAGTTTTAATTTTTATCTGATTTTCTTAAGAGGGAAATTAAGATCTGGCTCTACCTTGTGTTGCCTTGTGAGTCTCCATTTGTTTGGCTAAAACTTTCGAGTTTGTATTTTTTTTTGCAGTCACTCACGACTATGATTATTGTTTCTCTGAGAATGGTCTTGTTGCCCATAAAGATGGGAAATCCATTGGAATCCAGGTTCATATGAAACAATGGCTTTTACTTATCGACATTGTTGCTTATTCACCTCATTTGTTGCTTAATAGTTTTGTGTAACTTTTTCTCAGAGCTTGAAGCTGTACCTTGGAGAAGATAAACTCAAGGTAAAAGCATTGTCCCTCGTGTGTAGTAGCGGTAGTTGCTATAATGTTTCTTTAGTGGTTTACTGATGGTGAAGCGTATGCAAGAATATGTGTATGGATAGTTTGTGATAGCGTAAAATTTATGATGCAGGAGTTGATAAATTTCACACTGCACTACATTGCAGACTTGGATATTCCAATCAAAAGGTACATATGAAGATCAAACTCTAGTGTCTAGTCATGTTTTAAATATTTTACGGAATCTTTATGATATAAAAGTTTTGTCTTCTTGAAATTTATATACACAGGGGAACATTTATAGAATTCCGAAACGGAATGCTCAATGTGTCACCGATTGGTCGCAACTGCAGCCAAGAAGAAAGAGATGAATTCGAGAGATATGATAAGGTAATGGAAATTATTTAATTTTCCAGTTTCTTATAGAGATCAATTCTGAGAATTGTTAAGTGATATCATTCAACATTTTCTCTTGAAAAGGTTCAAAACATTCGCCCGAAAATGGTGGCTGAACTTCGTGAGCGGTTTGCGCATCTTAACCTTACTTTCTCAATTGGTGGACAGATTAGCTTCGATGTGAGTAGGAATCAAAATGTGGATTAAAACAATTTCTTATATCCAATTTTTGAGTTACTTAGTCTACTTCCATTGTTTATGACTCAGGTCTTCCCTAAAGGTTGGGATAAGACTTACTGCTTGCAATATCTTGAGGACTTTAATGAAATCCATTTCTTCGGTGACAAAACCTATGAGGTAAGATAACTGAACTTACCTGCCCAAATGTCATGAGTAATACTTGTATGGTTTTCGTTGAGCTTGATGTGTGAAAACACTGTTTAACTTCTGCAGGGTGGAAATGATTATGAAATCTATGAATCACCAAAAACAATTGGCCACTCAGGTTAGTTAGTTTCGATATATATTATTGGTTATTCTCCGTGTGTTTGTGTTGGTGACATTTCATGACAAAAGTAGGATTGTTTCTTCTATTGTGTTGCAGTTACGAGTCCAGATGACACAATGGCAAAATGCAAGGCTCTGTTCATGTCTTGAAACACTATCCATCTCAAGAACACAATATCAAGAGTTTGATTCTTCTTGGAAAAAATTTCACAACTTTTGATTCTACTTGCATTACAAGAAATGGAGAAAAGTACGTTTGCAGTATTGTTTCGAATTTTGATCCATAAAAAATAAAGGTATTTGGTTACATAATCTTTGTTTCACAACAAGAACTGGTTCTCAAAGTAGTAAAACTAAGATCAAAGAAAGTATATCATCTTCTTTCAAAAAAAAATTGGATGTTAAAAATTTGTTCACAACAGATTCTCTCCAAAAAAAGCTTTAAACTTTACAAAGAATTTACAAGTAGAAACAACAACAAATTGTATACATATATTCATTTTAAAACAGAAAAGCATATAAAATCTTCAAATTTCAGAATTGTGATAAGATCATTCCTCCACCACAATTCAAGACTCAACCACAGGCTCAGGCT